ATATATGCCGAGGGAATAAGGATTGTACGATGTCAGAAATACCAATAAATTTATTAGGGTTGAAGTCTTAAGGAAAATGGAGAGAAAAAATATGATAGAGATTTATGGATTGGAGTTGCAGGTAAAGTTCGAGATAAAATAACAACTTTGGACGCCTTTAAAGAATATTCTGATAGATTTGATATTGAGCATTATTTTAAATTTTCCAAATCAAAACTGTTGATGGATAAAATGCAATCATCTGATTCAAAAAAAGATGAAGATTTTATGTTGATGACAGCAATAGCTTATCACGTATTATGTAAAAGTTCTGATTTGCTAAATGAAATTAATGTTAAAGCTTGGGAAAATAAAAAAAGAATAAACTCCAAATCACCATCTAATATATTTAGAGCTGCAGCTATTAGTGATGTTTTTGATCAAGTATATACAGGTGAAATTAAAAAAAGAGGCATACCAGATGAGAGAAGTATAAGAAAAAGTTTTACATCAAAGAAAAATCAACCTATCATGCGCAAGTCTAGAGACCCCACAAAAGTGCAAGTAGAAATAAAGTCGAGTTTTGGAAAGATGCCTATTATTTCAAAAACCTCAATAAATACACAGCAAGAATCTAAGGAGAATTTTAGAAAGAAAATTTTAGAAAAAGCTGACCAAATATATGAAAAAATACACACAAAAGTAGCATAATTTTTCTAAATCACTTCTTTTTTAAAAATGCCATTTTTGGCATAGGTTAGAGTTTTGTCAAAAGTCCAGCTGTAAGGGGCGTGGTGATCCAGAATTGTTGCTAATTTTACGTTTGTTAAAATATTACTGGATTGCCACATAAATCAAAGATTTATTCGCAATGACAAATCTCTAGAGCTGGATTACCACACTCACTACTTTTGCTCGCATTGACTATATCGTTGTTCCTAAGATTAAGTGATATATTGGGTTATTTTTTCTAATACTTTTTCAGAATTTATATCCCATATTCCATAATTTATTTGGCTATTGGTAATATTTAAATGTTGTAAATAATGTAAGTTAAATGCAAATATAACATTAGCAAGGTGCTTATCAAATAAGCCATTGTAGTTTATCTCATACCCAAGCTTTTTTAATTTTTTTTGTAATAGTTCAATATTTTGTCCTTTATCACCTAACTTAAAAATAATTTTATTATTATCTCTTTTTTCTATTTCATGATATATACCATGGCCAAGTATATTTAAAAATTTCCAATCAAATGCAATGCCAGGATCAATTTTTCTTAAATTTTTAGCTGTTATATCACTATGGCCAATTATATTTTTATCTTGGATTTTAGGATACATTTTTTTTAATTCACAAATTAATTTTGCAAGAGCAAAGTATATATTATTAGAAAAAGTATTTATATTTAATACTTGAACCTTATTATTTAAAAATTTAAGTTTCATACCTTTATTAACAATTTCAATGCCGATAGAATATTGATTAATATCATTTTTCCCACTCCAAAAACTTTCTCCTGCATGCCAAGCTTTAAATTCTAAAGGTACTAACTGGTGTATATCTCCTTTTTCACTAATTAAGAAATGGCTACTAACTTTGTCAGATTTAGTTAATATATTATATGAATCTTTAAATCCTAATTCTGTATAGTGAATAATAATTGTATTAATTTCACTACCAAATTTTCTTTTAGAATAATTTGAGTATTTTGTATTAAGCTTTATTTTATGATACATTGAAAAAAATATGTGTTTGTTAAAATTTCTGTGATTAAAAAATTTAATTTAATAAAAAATCTTATTATTGTTTTTATTTTAGGTATAAGCAGTGGTTTACCATTAGTTATTACAGGTTCAATTCTTAAAGCATTGTTATTTGACTATAGCATAGATTTTAAAACAATAGGAGTGCTAGGGTTAGTTACAACCCCATATTCTTTCAAATTTCTTTGGTCACCATTGATTGATTACTTAAAAATTCCATTTCTAAGTAGACAGCTTGGTCATAGAAAATCATGGATATTGGTATCTCAAGTTTTTTTAATAACTTTAATTATATTATTTGGTAAGATAAATCCTCAAACTAATATGTTATGGTTTGCTATATGTGGGTTTTTTCTTGCATTTTTCTCAGCAACTCAAGATATTTGTATTGATGCTTATAGGATTAAAATATGAAT